TTATTCCATCTTTAAAGTAGTGAGGCAAACTAATGTGCCCAGGTTCACAGAAGACTCAACATGGACCAGACTTCAAAGCTTTGACTCTCTCCTCTGTCATTCTTGCACTGACTTTCTAGCCTTGCATATTTATTTAATGAATTAAAAATTTTTTTTCCTTTCCAGTGGGTTAACAGTCCAACCCAGAGGCAGCAGTTGGAGAGAAGCTCATTCTATTATATCCAGTATTTCCCTTTGCTCCAACCAGATCTTAAATCTTTCTGTTCCCTGACTCCATGTCTCATTTTATGCGTCTTTAGAAATGTGTATATAAAATGCATTCATTCTTACTGATCATCTGAAGCCTGCAACAGTGTGTGGGATGCTAGAAATTCAGTGGTAATTGCCACAGTCCCTTCTCTAAAAGAGCATACAGTCTTGTAGGAGATACAGATAAATAAATGAGTTTATAATGTGAGCCCAAGGGGGGGCACATTGGTAGTATGAGGATATGCAGAAGTGGCACCAAACAGATTTGGGTGGAGGGTGGTCTGTAAGTTCTTTCCAGAGAAGGGAGCACTTGAGGGTGACTAGAGTGAGTTAGGTCTGTATGCAGAGAGCTCTTCTTTGGGTGTGTAAATTGAGGGAGGGGTGGAGTTCACCTCTAGTTTCTGGCTTGAGCAACTAGTTGTTGCCCATGGAGCCCTGGCAGAAAAGAGGCATTTGCTCAGTTCTTAATCTGCTGAAGGTCATTTGGTATGACTGAGCAGCAGAGAGAGAGAGAGAGAGAGTGTGTGTGTGTGTTTGTGTGTGTGTGCGTGCGCATGTGCCGTAGTGAAAACTGGGAGAAGAATGTAGAGGCTAAATTATTCAGGGTCTTAACTAGTAATAATAACAACTTGCACTTAACACTTTTTCTATGCCAGACACTGTTGTAATTTTAATATAACACATTGATTCCTCATTTCAAACCTAAGAAACCTAAGAAAAAGTTATACCATCATCTCCATTTCATATACAAGGAAAATGACAGACGCAGAGGCTGACTCCTCTAAGTTCCCAGATCTAGTGAGTAATACAGCTGAGACTTGAGCTCCAGCCAATCTAGCATAAAAAGTGTGGTCCATGAACCAGTATTATTATCAGCATCACCTGGGCGCTTGTTAGAAATGCAAAAACTCAGGCACTAACCTAGACCTACAGAACCAGAATCTATATTTTAACAAAGACCCAGAGGTGGTTCCTGAGCACTTTAAAGTTTGGGGACATCTGCTATAACCCACTAAACGCTACTGCTTCTCTTTACTTTGGGAAGGAATCTGGACATTATCCTAAGGCCAGCGGAAAGTCAGGAAAAGGTTTGAAGTAAGAGATTGACAAAATCAAATCTCGTTTTAGACCAGTAGTTTCAGTGGCTTCAGTGTAGAGAAGGCAGCAGAAGAGGGCAATTCTGAAGGCACGGAGACCCATGAAAGGGCCACCGGTCACCAAGTAAAAGAAGATGGCAGCCTGAAATAGGGTGATGGCAGTGACAAAGGAGAGAAGCTGGTGAATGTATGAGGTAGCATGGACAGAATTTGGAGATTCTTTGGGTGTACAAGTTGAGGGAGAGGTGGAGTTAGTTCACCTCCAGTTTCTGGCTTGTATCATGATGTCATTTTCTGTATGAGAATACTTGGGGGAAGTAGGGTGGAAAGTAGGAGAGGGGAATGATGAATTTACTTTTAGATTTAAATGAGATTTGAGAGGACTGTGGGAAAGCCAAGTAGAGCTGTTCAGCCAGGTCCAAAGGGAGAGGGCAGGGAAACCACATACATTACTTGAACATTTTGAAATTCTATGTCAAAAATTTTACCTGGGGCTTCCCTGGTGGCGCAGTGGTTGGGAGTCCGCCTGCCGATGCAGGGGACACGGGTTCGTGCCCCGGTCCAGGAAGATCCCACATGCCGCGGAGCGGCTGGGCCCGTGAGCCATGGCCGCTGAGCCTGCGCTCCGCAACGGGAGAGGCCACAACAGTGAGAGGGCCATGTACCGCAAAAAAAAAAAAAAAAAAAAATTTACCTGGCTTTCCCTTCAGGCCCCTTCCCTTCCCGCATTGTATTCACTGGGGTCCAAGCCTGCTCTGGGCAGTCCTGTATTCAGCAGATAATTGGACATACAGGTTTGTAGCTCAGAAAATATATCTTAGCTGGACATAAAGATTTTGGACTCAGTCATGTAGAATAGATTGTAATTGAAGCAATGACATTTAGCTCAGAAAGAGAAAGGGAATCTAGGGTGTGTATGGAAGAGGAAGGGGAATCTGTGAAACAGACTGAGAATAGTGGTCGTAGAGGCGGGAGGAAAACCAGGAGCTGGATACCATGGAATCCCTGTGTAAAGAGTGTTTCCAGATGGGGAAAGTGGAGAATAAGGTAAAATGCTTCTGAGATACTAAGAAGATAATGAGAAATGTCTGCTGGATTTAGCAATACACTAGTGATCAGTCACCTCAGTGAGAGGCAGGGGAAACTGATAAGGACCAAAGCCAGACTGCAGTTGATTGAGAAGTGGGAGCTAAGAAAGTGGAGATTCTTCACAAGGTGTAGACAATACTTTCACAAGATTGAGCTATGAAGCTGAAGAGTGAGGTAAGTGGAGGAGCTCAGTAATGAAGGAGAAGCTTTTCAAGATGGGGAACTTGAACATGTTTAAATATTGATAGGAGGAGCCAATAAAGAAGGAAAAGAATAAAGATTGTGATCCCTGAAGCAGAGGGTATGAGATAGCGGGCACTAGTTTAGATCTTCCCTTTCATGTTTCAATCTACCAATAGGCCGGTATGGGGCTTGGGGAGAATGGCCAGAGAAACAGGAAGGTCCCACTGCAGTCACCTGTTCCACATTCTGGGGTCTCTAGAGGCTTAATCCTATCACCCTTCCATTCTAAGCCTTACTCTCCATGAAAGGAACTGTTCTGATACTTGAACCTTCTACTTTTATTTCAGTGGACACATTGCCCAGAACAAGTATGGCTACGAATTAACTATGTATCTGCTATGAAAATTAACCCTTAAATGTCATCTTCAGCTAAAATCCTTACCTTAACCTTACCTGTCCTCAGGTGAGGACAGTTGAGAGAGACAGTTTAGACATACTTCCACCATAAGCCTTTTAAAGATTTGGTAAACCCACCAACCCCAGGGTTTGTCTGGAGCTGGTCTGTGATTTCATGGAGAATAGTGGTTCATAATCAGGACCCCTCAAGAATACTCAAGGATAGGCTTTAAGAGTCTATCAACCCCAGAAATGTCAAGGAAAAATCTATTTACAATGGGCTTTTTTTTTTTTAAATGGGAAGAGGGTCCATTGATTCTATCAGATTCTTAAGGGAATCTGTGATCCCAAAGTGGTCTAATGTGGAGATAGATGATGCTCAAGCTGATCATTTTGGAGGGACTCAAGGTGTTATGGCAGGAAGGAGTCTTCTACCTCCTCCTTCCCCTCCTTCTTTTCACAGCTCCTTCCAGGATACCATAAGGTAACCAAGAAAAATGATGACAATGAGAGAGGAAAAAGATAATTACAAGAACATGGAAATGTACGGTTGTTTAGCTGACATCTGATTCAGAACTTTCCATGTGAAACCAAGTATTTGGTTTTCAATTCTAAAGAGATCATGTTTCCTAGATTGAAAATGTGAAAAAACAAATCAAACCTTCTCCAACATGTTCTAGATAAAATTTTATTTTCAATATTATAGTAGAAAGTTACTAGGCTTGCTTAAGGAACCCAAATTAATCCAGCTTTACTCAGAATGTTGTTGGCAAGTATAATAAAAATAAGAGGTAGACTTGTCCCTGAGGTAATGTTACATTAAAGCACAAATCTGCTGCTCTTGTTTAGGTAGAACAGCCCCAGGATTGGCAACTAATGATAACACATGGGAATAAATAGAACAAGTATAGAAAACAGACATCAGAGTTTACCTTCCCCACCAAGCAATTTGGATTATGGCTTTAGGCACATATCATAAATATGTTAAGAAATATCTTGTGTGATACATATATTTGCAATATTTGTGTTAAATTTTAATCCATATATGTTACTAATAAACATGCTGGAATTTATACATGATAGTATTGTGAATGTGAAATGAGGGCTAAAATGGCTTGAGGAATTTCTTACATTTTATTTATAAGAATTACACATTTTATTAATGATTGTTTTTAGTTCCTACATTTCCAAAACGAAAATTGACAAACTGAGGAGTTGCATTTGGTTTTCGAATGCATGACAGACACCAAAAAGTGTCTGATTAAAATAGTGAGGGAAAAAGCATAAACACATATGGGAAGCATACTTTTGCTTATGTAACACTATCCCAGTTTCAAGAAGCAATGCTTTAGATTCATTCAGTGTATTACATATCTGTGTGTGTCAGAAACACAGACATTTTAATTCAGTCTTAGAAAGCCTAAGATTAGGAATTGTCTTTATGCCTGCTTGTGAAAAATAGGCAGATTTGTTTTGTTTTTTGTTTTTTTTAATAGCAGGAATCTCACTCACTTAAAATCTGTAAATAACTTTAAATTGTGCTCTGGATATGTAAACACAGCCATAAAATATCCTTAGTGATAAAGTCAGTCATCCAAATAAATTAAGCCAAATAAAACTCCAGTATGAAGTCATTCCTTTTTTATGAATACAATGAAGTTATACCTCCAATTATAAAGACACTTTTCAGAACTCAGGAGGCAACTCAAAAGTTATCTGGCTACAATGTTGCCTTAATACACATGGCACAGAAATGAGAAATCTGAAAAGCTCAGCATATAAAATTTGATAACTGTTGGCTCAAATGTTTAAAAAGTTTCTAAGAAACTTCTAGATATATACTTACTTGCTAAGTAAAAACAAATCACTACAAAGTTTCTTTTAAGCAGTCACTAGAAAGTTTATAAGAATCTCTTGTACTTAAAAAAAATTAAGCCAATAAAAACCACATTAAAAACACAAAACATTAAAGAAAACAAAACAAACTTCTTTTTAAAGCTGCTTCTTCCAGGGATTTAAACAATACGAAAGGAGAATATATGATGATTTACTTTCCCCTCCAACACATTCATATGTCAACTCCAAGAGGAACAGAATGGGCCACCAAAACTATCTGAGGGTCCCTCCCAGTTGCAGCTTTTTAAACTTTGTGGAAGACAATAGGAGGGTGTGTGAGTTTCCTCCAAGTCTTGTGACATGTGCATAGCTGACTCCTACTGGGCTGAAAAAGCACTCCTTGTCAATTTTTACTTAAAATTATGAGTAACAAATTCTCTGCAGGGCATCTTTAAAGGGAAATCCTGCCAGAATTAGTATCTGAAATGTCTGGATAATCCCCAGAAAGTTTAAAATATAAAGTGCACATACAGACACATACACTCAAGAAATTCCCACTGCCTAGACTAAATTGAGGGCATATTTAAATTAAAAAATTTCTATAAAGGATGATGTATTTCCTGTTTTTTGTTTTGTTATTTCAGTGACTATCGGAACCCTTCTTATAGGTTAGAAATGGCTGAACTATAGAGCTTTTCTTTTGAAATATCTGGAAAGAGATGTGGCCCCATGTTCTCACCTGTAGCGTTTTTGGTAGCTTGAGAGATGAACTGTGGTTTGTGGCTTCTATCATTGCCTTCCTGGGAAATTTGCTAACGTTGAGCCTTGGATTTGACTAGGATAACTCAAACTAGTTGCCTGCTTCCTGCACCAGTACCGTGGACCTGGCATTCCCTGCTGTTGCCTATTTCCCTATGAGCTGGCAACAACTGTTATGTCACGTCCACAGCTGTATGACTTCATTTAAGCACAGACTCAGATAGTCTTTTGAAATCTTAAGTCAAAACTTGAAAAGTGGCTAGATATTTCATGAGTTGGATCTAAAGAAATGTTTGAATATTGAACTAATCCACAACAGGAATTCTCAGTGGGTCAAACTGATCCATAAAGCAAGTGACATCTGCTCTTAAACTCTCCATCTGAGGCCTTCATCTCCTCCCGACTCCCCACTGTGCAGAGAGTCTGCTGTATTTCCTATCTCAGGGCATGGCACAGTCATCCAACCCTTGGACTCCTCACTTTTCTCATTTATTCTCCACCATCCCCATCATTCACCCCCAACCCCAACTTCTGTTGGTTTTACTTTGTTAAATATCTCTCAAATTTGTCATTATCCCTGCATTCTGGTCCTCACATTTCTCACTTGGATTACTGTCATCAGTCATAAAACAACTGACATCTGTCTCAGTCTGGTCCCCTTCTATCATTTCTTTATATCACTATAAAACTATTTATTTAAAGATATCAGTTTATTGAATTATACATGCTTCTTGCAGAAAGTCTGGAATAGGAATGAAAAAAAAAAGTTTAAAATGACTTGCAATCTAAGAGACAGAACTCAAAACGTCACCCAGATATTATGCATACATATAGCTATACAAGGAAATGTTTATGTAAATGTTTTCATGTAAATGTTTACACAGCTATAGTTAAATATATTTAATTAGAAAACCAAGATCACATTGCATATGGTATATCTATTATACTTAATATACTGTGAATGATTTTCCAAATCAATTAAATATTTTTAAAATGGCTGTGAATAACGGCTGCAATATAATGAAATATGTGATGGAACAGTGCTTCCTCTTTTCTCTCTCTCTCTCTCTCATCTGTTTTCTTCAACACCAAAACTCACCCTGAGCATTTATAAGGTATGAATCATAGGACTTTGATTTAGGTGGGAAAGAGGGAAGGAGAAAAATACAGAACACTCACTTTAAGTTCATTTACATTTACTAGACACTATTTAAACAACTATATATTCTGTACTGTTTCATGCTTTCAAGGAACTATCTAACCTGTAAGTCTATATAATAAAGTTTAAGGCTGCATTTTAGGTGAGTAAAGACAAGTTTAGTAGGAAAACAATTTGATTTTTTTCTTCTTTACATTGAATAACAAGAAACACAAGAGAAAACCTGTGGGAATTTTAGCTTGACTAGTTTAGTTTTAGCTTGACTAGTCAGAGAAAGGGTTTTTCTTCAGCAGACTAGCGTGTGAATAAACAAAAATACTTCAGAGCCAAGAAGATTGCCTCCTTTCCTTGAAAGACACATTGTCTATGTTCCTCTTCTATCAGAAGGTGGGAAAAATATTTGTACACATTTTTAAGTCCACATTTTACTTCTCAGAAGGGGAGACACTGATTTCACAAATAATGTATACTACTTTTTTTCTCTCTGCAGGGATGGAGAGCTTTATGTAGTTGCAAAAAATATATATTAAGGTATTTTGCTAATTTTTATCATGATAACATACAATCAAAATGCATTTTGTCTTTTTTTTTTAGTATATGCATTTTTTAAAAACTTTATTGGAGTATAATTGCTTTACAGTGTTGTGTTACTTTCTGCTGTGTAACAAAGTGAATCAGCTATATGTATACATACATCCCCATATCCCCTCCCTCGTGTCTCCCTCCCACCCTCCCTAACCCACGCCTCTAGGTGGTCACAGAGCACTGAGCTGATCTCCCTGGGCTATGCAGCTGCTTCCCACTAGCTGTTTTACATTTGGTAGTGTATATATGTCAGTGCCACTCTCTCACTTCGACCCAGCTTACCCTTCCTCCTCCCTGTGTCCTCAAGTTCATTCTCTACATCTGTGTCTTTATGCCTGTACTGCCCCTAGGTTCTTTAGAACCTTTTGTTTTTAAATTCCATATATATGTGTTAGCATACGGTATTTGTTTTTCTTTTTCTGACTTACTCTGTATGACAGACTCTGGGTCCATCCACCTCACTACAAATAACTCAATTTCGTTTCCTTTTATGGCTGAGTAATATTCCATTGTATATATGTGCCACATCTTCTTTATCCATTCATCTGTCACTGGACACTTAGGTTGCTTCCATGTCCTGGCTATTGTAAATAGAGCTGCAGTGAACATTGTGGTACATGAATCTTTTTGAATTATGGTTTTCTCAGGGTATATGCCCGGTAGTGGGATTGCTGGGTCATATGGTGGTTCTATTTTTAGTTTTGTAAGGAACCTCCATACTGTTCTCCATAGTGGCTGTATCAGTTTTCATTCCCACCAACAGTGCAAGAGGGTTCCCTTTTCTCCACACCCTCTCCAGCATTTATTGTTTGTAGATTTTTTGATGATGCCATTCTGACTGGTGTGAGGTGATAACTCATTGTAGTTTTGATTTGCAATGACTGTACTACCCCAAACAATCTACAGATTCAATGCAATCTCTATCAAACTACCAATAGCATTTTTCACAGAACCAGAATAAAAAATTTCACAATTTGTATAGAAACACAAAAGACAAACACAAAAGACCCCGAATAGCCAGAGCAATCCTGAGAAAGAAAAATGGAGCTGGAGGAATCAGGCTCCCTGACTTCAGACTATACAACAAAGCTACAGTAATCAAGACAGTATGGTACTGGCACAAAAACAGAAATATAGATCAATGGAACAGGATAGAAAACCCAGAGATATACCCACACACATGTCACCTTATCTTTGATAAAGGAGGCAAGAATATACAATGGAGAAAAGTGGAGCTGGGAAAACTGGGCAGCTACATGTAAAAGAATGAAATTAGGACACTTCCTAACACCATACACAAAAATAAACTCAAAATGGATTAAAGACCTAAATGTAAGGCCAGACACTATAAAACTCTTAGAGGAAAACATAGGTAGAACACTCTATGACATACATCACAGCAAGATCCTTTTTGACCCACCTCCTAGAGAAATGGAAATAAAAACAAAAATAAACAAATGGGACCTAATGAAACTTCAAAGCTTTTGCACAGCAAAGGAAACCATAAACAAGACCAAAAGACAACCCTCAGAATGGGAGAAAATATTTGCAAATGAAGCAACTGACAAAGGATTACTCCAGAATCTCCTTTTCTCTGCCCAGAAATGCCCATACCAGGCTAGCCCGACTTTTCCTTCAGGACTCAGTTCAGGGGGTCACCCCCAGCCTGTTCAGCTTCCCTCCCTGCAGTAAGACAGTTGGACTTTCTTCTCCCATAACATCCTCTGCTTGCTTCTCTCAAAACACTGTATGGAACTACAACTGTTGATTCTTGCCATCTCCTTGAAAGCAAGGCACATTTTTAAGATTTTCATTCATATTCTTTGTAGTTAGCTGTCTTACAGGATCCAGGAGATTATTGAGCCAAGGATTTAAATTCACCATGTCCTCCTTTTTTTCCATCACACCCCAATGCAATCCCTTCCTGCTCTTCAAACACACATCCAGGTTAGGTCTTACAACTGATCACTGAAGAGGAAGACAGGTGCAAATAGAGACAAGCCTGAGTAAAACAGATAAAACACAACACTGGGAACTTATAAAAATTTAATAACCTGTTCAAAGTAGTTGTTCCTTCTTTTTTTGTGTGTGATATAAATGGAATAAACACTTTCTGAAGGCCCAAAAGTCAGGCTTTCTTTCTTAGGTGGTTTGGAAGAGGTCTGTCCTGTGTCATATTTTTCTAAATTAATTAATTTTATCGTTGATTTACCAAGTCAAGGTAAATCAAGTATAAAATTATATATATATATATAAATTACATATATATAAAAAATTATATATATATAAAATATTTTTGGATTCTTTTCTATTATAGGTTATTACAAGATATTGAATATAGTTCCCTGTGCTATATGGTAGGTCCTTGTTGTTTATCTATTTTATGCATTGTAGTGTGTATATGTTTATCCCAAACTAACTTATCTCCCCCTGCTATCCCCTCTGGTAGTAACCGTAAGTTTGTTTTCTATGTGTGTGAGTCTATTTCTGTTTTGTAAATAAGTTCACTTATATCATTTTTTAATTTTTTTTAGATTCCACGTAAGTGATAATTATGTCTGATTGTATGATAATCTCTAGGTCCATCCACCATGTTGCTGCAAATGGTATTTCATTCTTTTTAATGGCTGAGTAGTGTGTTGCATATATATATACCACATTTTTTTAATCCATTTATCTGTTGATGGACATTTAGGTTTCTTCTGTGTTTTGGTTATTGTAAACAGTGCTGCTATGAACACTGGGATGCATGTATCCTTTTGAATTAGTTTTCATCTTTTCAGGATATGTGCCCAGGAGTTGGATTGCTGGATCATATGGCAACTCTATTTTCAGTTTTTTTTTATTTTTTATTTTTTTATTTTTTATTTTATTTTTTTTTGCGCTATGCGGGCCTCTCACTGTCGCGGCCTCTCCCGCCGCGGAGCACAGGCTCCGGACGCCCAGGCCCAGCCGCCATGGCTCACGGGCCCAGCCGCTCCGCGGCATGTGGGATCCTCCCGGACCAGGGCACGAACCCGCGTCCCCTGCATCGGCAGGCGGACTCCCAACCACTGCGCCACCAGGGAAGCCCTATTTTCAGTTTTTAAAGAAACCCCCATACTGTTCTCCATAGTGGCTGCACCGATTTACATTCCCACCAACAGTGTAGGAGGGTTCCCTTTTCTCCACACCCTCTCCAGCATTTATTATTTGTAGACTTTTTGATGCTGGCCACTCTGACCAGTGTGAGGTGATAACTCATTGTAGTTTTGACTTGCATTTCTCTAATAGTGATGTTGAATGTCTTTTCATGTACCTGTGGGCTATCTGTATGTCTTCTTTGGAGAAATGCCTGTTTAGATCTTCTGCTCATTTTTTTTAATTGGGTTTTTTTTTTTTGATATTGAGCTGTATAAGCTGTGTATTTTGGAAATTAATCCCTTGTCGGTAGCATTGTTTGCAAATATTTTCTTCCATTCAGTAGGCTGTCTTTTCATTTTGTTTATGGTTTCCTTTGCTGTGCAAAAGCTTTTAATTAGGTCCCATTTTAAAATTTTTGCCTTTGTTTCCATTACTCTAGGAGACAGATCCAAAACAATATTGTTGCAATTTATGTCAGTGTTCTGCCTATGTTTTCCTCCAAAAGTTTTATAGTATCCAGTCTTATGTTTAGGTCTTTAATCCATTTTGAGTTTTATTTTTGTGTACGCTGTTAGAGAACATTCTAATTTCATTCTTTCCCACGTAGCTCTCTAGTTTTCCCAGCACCATTTATTGAAGAGACTGTCTTCTCTCTGTTGTATAATTTTGCCTCCTTTGTTGTAATTAATTGACCATAAACATGTGGGTTTATTTCTGGGCTCTCTATCCTGTTGTGTCTGTTTTTGTGCCAATACCATACTTTTCTAATTACTGTAGCTTTATAGTATAGTCTGAAGTTGGGGAGCATGATTCCTCCAGCTCTGTTCTTCTTTCCCAAGATTATTTTGGCTATTTGAGGTCTTTAGTGTTTCTGTACAAATTAAAATTTTTTTGTTCCAGTTCTGTGAAAAATGCCATTGGTAATTTGATGGGGATTACACTGAATCTGTAAAATGCCTTGGGTAGTAGTATGGTCATCTTAACAATATTGATTCTTCTAATCCAAGAACATGGTATCTCTTTCCATCTGTTTGTGTGGGCTTCAGTTTCTTTCATCAGTGTCTTACAGTTTTCAGAGCACAGGTCTTTTGCAGGTAAGTTTATTCCTAGGTATGTTATTCTTTTCAATGCAATGGTAAATGGGATTGTTTGCTTAGTTTCTTTCTCATATTTCATTGTTAGAAATGTAATGGATCTCTGAATATTAGTTTTGTATCCTGCAACTTTACTGAATTCATTGATGAGTTCTAGTAGTTTTCTGGTAGCATCTTTAGGATTTTCTATGTATAATATCATGTCATCTGCAAACAGTGACAGTTTTACTTCTTCCTTTCCAATTTGGATTCTTTTTCTTCTCTGATTGCTGTAGAGTCCTGGGTTCTATTTATTCTCCTGTTGGCTTGGTGTGGCCTTCAAAGTGGAGCAACTTGAGTGAGTCTGTAGATCATTTTAACAGCCACTTTAGTAGTGCTCCTAGGTTCTGTGGAAAATGTACATCTCAGAGCTTTATAAATGTGTTTTTCTTTCATCTCCCATGTACACTGGGTCAAAGACTTCATTGGTATTAGTCAAAGAAAGCAAACCTTCCATTGTCCCCACCCCCTATCCAACTCACATAAATTAGCTCTTGATAGAAAAAAATCCCACTTGGCCATGGGTCAAGTGGCATTTCTGAGGAAGGAATGAACCGTTTCTTCACACACTCTTCTTCAGCTCACTGTTGCACTTTGACCTCGTCCTTGGTGCTTCATGGTCTGATTAAAGTATCAATACATTCTCCAAAAAGTTCAAGATGGTTCTACATTCAGGTTAAGCAATTTCTACATTTATTCTAATTTAGCATTAAGGTCTTTTTGGAAAATATACTAATTTTGGTTAAGATGTACCACTCTTCACTGTATCTTTCTGATGGTCAGAAGTGAGTTTCCTTTGACTATTCAAAAACACATGGTCTGGAGATGGAACACATGAATATGAATACCTAAGCACATTATTCAAATATCTCTGCCATTATCTGCAACGGTAGAAAGTAGCAGATGAGAGTTTAGCTACACATTTGCTGAAAACTAGCTAACTGAAAATGATTTACTGAGGTGAAATGGTTCACAAAATGGCAAACTTTCAAGGAATGAAAGGACTATGGAATTATTTTTGTGTAAGAAAAATATAACAAAATCCTTTAAAAATGTTCAGAATAGAATTAAAAAATGTAAAATACATATATGTATCAATTAATCCTAGTAATTAAAACAAGCTTCAAAGTACATAAAATTGAACAGAAACAACACACAACTTTATTTTAAATAACATTCTTAACTCTGCCCATTAAGATCATAGTAGATAAATAAGGAACAACTTTTATTTTATTAATGAAATTAGATTTTTAATATGAAATTAGCTAAATAATTTTATTTAGAAAAAAATAAAAACTGCTCTTACTGTGGAAAAATAACCATTTTGATAAATGAAACAAATTTCATGCAAACAAAATAAGAATATTTTATTTGCTTCATTGTCTCTTCTATTTTTATTTTCACAAATTAACAAAGTCATAATGCTTTTATTTGCTTCATTGTCTATGATCTAGTCTGACTCAAATGTGGATTACTTCGATATCTCTTGAAACATAAATGGTAAGGTCCTTAAAGACTGAATAAAAAATCAGGTTGGGTGTTCAGTATTTTGGAAGCTGAATCAACAAACTAATTGGAATATTTGTCATTTTTCTTCCTTTGCCTTTATGAAAATACAATAGAAAATTAGCAATGGAAAATATGTTTTAGTTTGTTACATTCCTATCAACTTTGCTTAGCAAATTATATTTCTTTCAATATTAATACTTTGCCTAGAATTAGTGTAGAGGTAGACCAATCTTTGTATTCAAACATTTTCAAAAATAGTTTTAAATGCCATGTAAGGTATTATATAAAACAGTATTTTAAAAAAATATTTGAGATTTAATTTACTATTTTAAATAAGTTCCTCTTTTATATACAGTAAATAGTTGCTTGAAACTCATCTGATTGAAATGATTACTCCAAGGAACTATTTTAGTCTTTTAACTACTACTAATCTTTACAGAACAAGAACACCTATTTTTTTTTTTTTGCAGTACACAGGCCTCTCACTGTTGTGGCCTCTCCCATTGCAGAACACAGGCTCTGGACGTGCAGGCTCAGCGGCCATGGCTCATGGGCCTAGCCGCTCCACGGCACGTGGGATCTTCCTGGACCGGGGCACGAACCCATGTCCCCTGCATCAGCAGGTGGCCTCTCAATGGAAGCCCCAAAACACCTATTTTTTAATAAGTGTTTCTATTTTTGAAAAAAAAAAGTTCTAATGATTTAAATGCACTTATAGATCCCCTACAACAAAGTATTAGGTGATGGTAACTATTAATATAAAAAAATGAAATTCAGAAATGCAAACTGGGTTAAAAAAAACTATATTAAATTTTTAGTTATTACAATGTTAAAATGTGACTTACACCTATCAGTAGTAAATTATATTTTTTCTCTCACTCTTGTTAGCATCTTACTTTAGAGCACAACAGTGCATGGGCTCCTCAGGTGTTCTTCTGTACCTGTAAACACACCCCTGAAGCTCCCAGCCACATAAAAGTTCACTCTTGTGGGGGAGATGAGAGGCCATCTATCTGCCAGAAATAAGAGTGAGGGCTTAGTAATAAAAAATATTTTGCAAGTTTCTGTATTTTAGGTTTGAACCATTCTCTATTAATTTTAAAGTAAAAACACTATTTTCAACACCAAAAAAAAACATGACCGCATTTTAAGTTTCTGATCAATATGTGTAAATTTACACGTGTCACTTGAAATCCAATAACACAACAAATGAGTCCTTTCCTAGAGATAAAAGCAGAAAATTTATTCTTCATTCAGCATCTAGAAAGAAAATAAACCTGAAATGTATAATTTTTAGAATAACGTGAAAAAGAAATCTTCCATGGAGAACCCAATTTACAAAAATTCACGTCTTTGTAAGATTTACAATGAATACAACACTACTGTTTTAACTGAATTGTGAGTGTGGGAAGTGCTATTGGGTGGGGGATTCTGGACTGTGAAATGCGTATTTTTTTTGTAACCACTCACCTTTAACTTTGGGGAAAAAACGTTTACTATATGACAACATTAATTAAAATCATTACTCTTCTGTCACTGATGACTTCCTGGATTTGACAACAAGGTCTTTAATGGATGAGGAAAGTTCTTGAAGCTCTTTACGAGTCATACTGATGATATCTTCTTGTTCTTTGTCTAATTGTTCTTTGTCTAATTCATCACTCAAGGGATCTTCTCCCTGCCCAGTCTTCTTATTTTGACTGACTAAATGCTTTATAACCAAACCTTGATACTTTACTAAAAGAGTATGTTGAACCTGTGAAAAGAGGAGAAAAGTTAACAAACATGGTTTAATTTTCTGTAGAACAAAGTATTGGGTTGGCCAAAAGGTTCCTTCAGTTTTTCTTTTTTTTTTTATTTTTTATTTTATTTTTTTGCGGTACGCGGGCCTCTCACTGCTGTGGCCTCTCCCGTTGTGGCGCACAGGCTCCGGACGCGCAGGCTCAGCGGCCATGGCTCACGGGCCCAGCCGCTCCGCGGCATGTGGGATCTTCCCAGACCGGGGCACGAACCTGTGTCCCCTGCATCGGCAGGCGGACTCTCAACCACTGCGCCACCAGGGAAGCCCTCCTTCAGTTTTTAAAGTAAAAATGAAAGACATTTTTCATTTTCACTAGGAACTTTATTGAACAACATATTCATTGTTTTGTTCCACTACTTTCTGCCATTTTTCAGGCAGCTTCATAATTCCACCTTCCCCCAATTTTTTTTTCTTTTTGAGCATAGAAATGTTCCAGGTGCCTTTTACAGTCTTCCAGGGAACTGAAGTTTTTTTCCATTAAGAGAATTTTGTGAAGACTGAAATAAATGGAAATCTGAAGGTGTGATGTTTGGTGAATACAGCGGATGAATCAGAACTTCCCAGCCAAGCTGTAATAGCTTTTGCCTAGTCATCAAAGAAACATGCAGTCTTGCGTTATCCTGATGGAGGTTATGTGTTTTCCCTTGACTAATTCTGGGTGCTTTTCGTCTAGTGCTGCTTTCAGTTGGTCTCTTTGGGAGTACTTGTTGGAATTAGTCGTTTGGTTTTCTGGAAAAAGCTCATAATAGAGGACTCCCTTCCAATCCCACCATATACACAACATCACCTTCTTTGGATGAAGACCTGCCTTTGGTGTGGTTGATGGTGGTTCATTTCACTTGCTCCATGATCTCTTCCGTTCCACATTATTGTACAGTATCCACTTTTCACTGCTCATCATCATTTGTTTCAAAAATGGAACATTTTTGGTAAATGGTTCAGTAGAGAATCACGTGCGGAAATACTGTCAAGGTTTTTTCCACTTAACTTACGTGGAACCCAAACATCAAAGCGACGAACATAACCAAGCTGGTGCAAATGATGAAAAACGCTTGATTTGGATATTGTGAGTATGTCGGCTATCTCCTGCATGGTATAATGTTGATTGATTGTTCTCAAGTAATGTCTCGATTTGACTGCTATCAACTTCAACTGGTCTACCAACTGTGGAGCACTGTCCAGTGAGAAATCCCCAGCACAAAACTTCACAAACCACTTTTGACACATTCAATCAGCACCTTCACCATATACTGCACAAATCTTTTTGTGTTTTTATTTTTTTTTGCGGTACGCGGGCCTCTCACTGTTGTGGAGCTCAGGCTCTGGACGTGCAGGCTCAGCGGCCATGGCTCACGGCATGTGGGATCTTCCCGGACCAGAGCACGAACCCACGTCCCCTGCATCGGCAGGCAGACTCTCAACCACTACGCCACCAGGGAAGCCCGTTTTTACCTTTCTTGAAATAATAGAGCTGAAATGTTGCTTTTTTCCTTCCCATCTTCAATATTAAAATGGTTACACAAAAATTCACCAATTTTGATGTTTTCTTTTTAGCAGCACACTGATATGACAGCTGTCTTAATACAATCTAACAAAATTGTTTCATATAAAGACAACTGACCACTACTGGAGCCATCTTATGGAAAAAACCAAAGGAACTTTTTGGCCAACCCAATACACTGACAATCTTCATCTTTACAAATTACTGGCCATAGAATTAGAAAGCTGAATCTAGCAAGGTCCTTGCTCTCAAGGAATTTACAGTTTGGGGGAGATAAAGCATGAACACAGATCATTTTAATGTAAGTTGACTGAGCTAGCTTCTATCACCAAAGATACTGTCAAAGTGATATGGAAGTTCAAAGAAGCCAATTTACCTTTAGCTGAAGAGTTTCTCAGATGAATTTGTGCAGGATAAGAATTTTTGAGCTGGTCCTTAAAGGACAGGTTAAACCTTCATAAACTGAAATGGAAGACTGAACATTATTATTCCTATTCCAAAAGCTTAATTTCCAGATTCAGAATATTCCTTACCATGGATCTTACAGGATCCTGAAAGATTCCTGAGCTATGCTGAGTTTTAAAAATCAACCTCCTTATTCACTGTTTCCATTCATGGAAGCAGGAAGATGATGTTAATATGTTTTGTGTCTTAGTGTTCACAATGATTCAAATCTATCCATTCAAAATATTCAGAATCTAAAAGCTAAAAAAGTTTCAAGTGCACTGAAAATGTAATACCTCTGGAATTTTACTATTCAGAAAAGCAATGATCTGTGGGACACATCTTCCAGGTGCATGGAGCATGCTGTGGGTTGAGAACTGAAACAACAGAACCGATGTGAGATGCAGAATAAGAGCAGGGTCTTCTGTGACTTTTAGCTGTTCAGCCAGTGCTTGTCGATGCTGGAACAGTATCTGCCTAAACAAAAATAAAATAACAAATACATTATCATATTTTAACAAGTTCTCACCAACTTCAGTTCTTCTATTCTGTTTTCATTTTTAGCATCTCTAGTTTAATTAATCTAGTTCCATGATAATTTTAAAGGACTTTTTAGGGGATATAGACACACATAATCCTAAACAGCATGGACAAATATGCTAGAAAATGACAGAAAAAACATATATGTATGGAGCAGGGATACTCAAAGTATGCTTTTTATTTTGAATTGTTGGGGATCAAACAGATGTGCGTTGGATTAAATAAGCTTTCCTACAAAGGTCTTAAAACTAATAAGTTCCCAGGCTTGATCAACTATGGGATTAGCAACTCTGCTACCTTATTCTACTGGGTCAGAGAGAGACACCTAAGGATATGAAGAGTGACTATGACTGAAGATCTACAGCCATTTAGACACAACAGTTCTCTATGCAAGATTCAGATAGACTCCAATTTCAGATACGAAATTTCAGACATTAATTCAATGTTACCTTTCCCTTTTTTTGTCTCCCCTTTTCACCATAATATCACAAGCTTCTGCTGCAGAATCCAGACAAGAAAGAAAGTCTTCTATGCTCTGAAAAGGTATTTAATACCATGATTTACTTTTATTGCCTAAAGAAAAGCAGTCATTTAATACCGTTTTATAATTTTACAACCTGGATACAATTCTTAAAAAGGTCATTTTGTCATGAAGTTTGAAACTGTGATTTAGGACTAGAGGGTAAAATGCCCCCAGCTTGGTCTCTTCCTTCACCTGCCAAAGAGGTCTGAGTACAGAATAATAGGTTTAGATTTAGTTTTCAGTTATTCTGATAAAAATCTATCTATCCAAAGATCACAAATTCTAGCCCAAATATCTAAATAATAAAACTTCACTTACCTTTTCATTCAGAGAGCTATGGAGTTTTGTGAGAGCTACTTTAGTTTCTTCTGATAATTTACTTAGAATTTTTTTTCTTACCTATAGGGCAAAAGAAATTTCTTTGGAATTATCTTTGACATGTACTGGATATAAGTTTAAACAAAGCAAAACAAAAAATGAGTATTTACTATTGTAACAGAATGCTGAGTGAAATTTATCTTTGTTCTTATATTTTAGACCACAAACTAGGGATTAAAAATATGCTAAAACACTCTAAAATCAGAATGCTAGTCAACAGTCAAAGACGCTAGAGGCAGCCACTACTCCTCCCATCTGCTCCAGCAGTATAAGAAGAATGATAAACAGCGCATGAGTGAATGAGCATATACACACCATTCATTGTGCAAGAAAAATAATTTGGGGTAAGAGGCTGCTCCCTCTTTTTTCTATTGTGGTGGGAAGAGTGTTTTTCTCTAAGGCCAAGTGAGGGAGCCCCACTCATAAAGATCCAGAAGGCCATAAAGATACAGGATGCCTATAAGCGAGGGGACCTGAACCACAGAAAGATGGCTGCTTGTTATACTGTCTGGTGTGTGGAACCTTTTCAGCACCCCTCTCCACACAGCTGTGCTTTGTGAAGTTTGGTGGCAGAGTCTTAGGGCTCCTTCTAGGGCAAAATTTCTGGAGGAGGCCTTATTGGAACGGCTTGGCCAGCAGGCCCTGAAAATTCCAGTATGTCTTAGAAGACTGGACCAACCTATTGACTCCTACCCCATGCTACAGCAATCCTCCTGTGGCCCTTAAAGGGCATGGGAAGGACCCCAGGTACTTCCCACAGCAGAGGCTGGCATGCAGGCAGGTACATGGAACTATCCAATCAGTTGAGAATCACTGCTCAATGCAAAGAATGGGAGGGAAACAGTACCTTGCCAGGGTAGGAGAGAGAAATGGACCTTTATCTGGAGGTTTAGGGGGAGTCCTTGCTATGAGAAGGAGTCACATGATACTAAAAACATCCCCACAAAACCACCTATCCCACCTATGCAACAAAGGCCACATCACGAGAAGCCACAAGCATTAGACTGATTTGGTTTGACCAGTGATAGCAGTCTTATGAAGGCACTGCTGTCTCTCTCATTCTTCCTAAATCTCCAACCTTAAGTAAATCTAGGGTGAGGAAGAAGAGGAGGAGGAGTCCTAGGGATAGGCCATACCTTTCCTCCTGTAGGCAACTGGGAGCCATAGCTCCACCTTACATTGCAAGAAGGGAAGAGATGAGCTTTGAATTTGAGATTTGAATTTCAGAAAATGAACTGGAATTAGTCTAAATAAATGAGATAGTGTCACGAAATGAAAATGACTGCAAAGTCAAAACACTGACAAGGGACTTGCAACTCAGCATGAAAAGGGGATGTGATGTAACAATAATCAGGAAAAAATAAAATAGCTGATTCCAAAGTAACTAAGCATCATTACCCTTTTTTTCCCCCTTGTTCTGGGTGCTTCCTGGGATTCTAAACTGTGATGCTAGCCTAGACCTTTAAGAATTTGTTAAAATTTCAGCTGCTTTACTTCCAGCTTCTATGATGGACACCTCTTCTCCCTGAAGATCTGCCTAAATTAAGCCAGTTCATTTGTCCCGTCTCTCTATGCTACCCCTCTTTGAATAGTGACCCTCACTCTTTGCAAGGCTACCTGGTGAAATTAAATCCAATCTGAGTCATCTGATGAGCTTAAAAAAAGATTTTGTAGGCTACTCAGCTTATTTATTTACTTTTTTTCAGAGATAATACGTTTTCCTGTTGCTTTCTGTACAATAATAGGAAGTAGAAGGCCAAGCACGCATGCTATATTTATTACAGGCATTCCCAGACATAATGACTAGTATTTCCTTACTTTTATTATTACTGTTAATAGGTTATATTACCAATCCTAGTAGCAAATGTATATCTATTGTACTAAACTTGAACTAAAAATCTGACAGATTTCTTCCTAAAAACTCCTTTTATTTTCCTTTTAGATGTGAGAAAATAAAACATGCTTGGATTTCAAAGCAAAACACATCAAGAGTGGCAAGAAAATCACTGACTTACTTCACTTGTAATGGTTGCAGGGTTGTCTACTGCCATCATTAATTCTGAAGCTAAGAAGTTGAAAATGAGATTAGTGACATCAGTACACACTGTCTTCAGCAAGTGCTTCGTAAGAGCAGCCTGGGTATCATCTGGAAAATAAAAGCGCTTCATTAAAATGAATGTCCAAGGACAATTATGAGAATCAATGAAAAAACTGTTAAGTATAATACCTGTAAAGAACTTCATCCCTTTTTCAAATAATCGAATATTATTATAAAGGTTTGAAACCTCTTCTTGCAAGTCCTTGATTGTGTGCTTCCTGCCAGTTCCAGAGGCAGAAGTTGAAGACATGAATACTGAACGTACCACTTCGAGATAAGTTTTATTTAGAGGTCTGTGCATGAGATAAATATATTTAGTTTATTAAAATGTACTGGGTTTATGTAGATAAGAAATTTTGCTTCTATGCAAATAAGGCTTTAAAAAAGATCCCTGTTAAACAAATAAGATTAATTTGGAGAATAGTTAATAAGAATTTTCCCTCAAATTCCAGAAATTCTAACTTCAGTGAATTATTTTTCTCTGTTTTAAAGTACTAAAAGTTATTGCATGAAGGACAATAAGAAAAACAGTAACAAAAGCTTCAGTTCAGATTCAATTCAGAGCAGCTTTTTAAAGTTAACTTGGAGAACAGTAGCCTATACACTTGTTTCCCATCCTCAGGAATGATAACAAATTCCCAATTTCTATCGTACTATAAAAGATATGTATTTTTAAAAAATCTTTTTATGCCCAACTCAGAATAGATTATTTTAAAAAGTTATGGCAAATGATTAATAGTGACTATTTCATCTTTTTATATATGAAAAATATAATTATGTAATGTATTCACGCACAAGAATGTTCACTTGTTTTTTTAAAAATCTCACTTACAAAAGCTGTTCTTCTAATTCAAAAATTTAGGTGCACTAGGCTCCTGGACTGCATTTAGAGAAGCTTACACATAGAGACTAACTTGGGGGAAAACCATGTTAGCTAGCAGTAGTCAAGTTATACACAATTTCTTTTATTTCTGTATAAAAATAAATTTAGCCTGGCTCACTTATAAGGTAGTGCTGTCTATTTTATTCTCTTTGAGGGCAGTATGTTACTTTATTTTCTCCCTAAAAGTGCACTGTTTAATCTCTGTCAAATAGAAGATACTCTTTTAGATGTACTTTCATGCAGTGTTAGAGACCAGCCAGTGATCAGTGCTGGTGGTTTTTCTCCCAATTAGAACTGTAAGATGAGTGAAGGAGACCACCTCCACACTCCTGCCCTGTATTTCCGACGACACTGCCTTGCCCAAAGCACTTAAATGTTTGTTGAACTGTTTCTGTAAGCAAACAAAATCTGGAATTTGGTGACTAGGTTAAATTTTAAGGTTTGAAAAGAAAACACCTCAATTATGTTTTCTATGATCTTGGTAAAAATTTTAAGTAATAACTCACTAAATTTCTATTATAAAACAGAAAACATATGTTCTTATACTTGCTTTATTAAGTACTCAGCAAGTTCACAAATAAACTCCTCAGGGGCATCTTGTAAATGTTTTCGTAAAAAATCTTCAATCTCATCCTGGAACATAAAAGTGCTCTCTGGCTTCTTCTTTCCTGTAATAAAAATGAGCCATAGGAAAAAACAAAAATAAGCAACCTACAAGCAAATAAGGTTCCATTAATAAATTTAATAAGATGGTAATTCATTTATTGCATACCATAAAGTCTCCATCGTACTGAAATTACTTTTTTTTTAATAGGGAGAATGGTTTTACTCTTTTATAGCTCCTCTCATACTATACACAAAAAGAGTATCACATGCCTCATTTAACAATTACTTAGGGCTACAGATTTTAGAGAAGTATTTTCTTAAATGCTATTTCACTCCCACTCCTTGTTACATCTGGGAAAATAGGAAAATCCATTTATTAATGAAAAAGTAAAAGACACAGAATAGTCTTAATGCTAATTAAAATAAGGGTAGAGCTCATAGTTTCTAAGATACTTTTCCTTTAATTAATTGCTTTATGTATGTTGAGAACAGTAGCCATTGTTACCTATCTTAGACTACTTTAGACAGATCTTAAGCAATTGTTCTGTTACAGGTAGCAGCACATTAACATCTGAAGCCTTGTCACTTGACACATATCTCCCAAGCCCATACATAATAAATTCTGTGGAACAGGTAAAAGAAAATGTCAAATCATCATCATTTCAAGTTTTTTTTTTTTGGTGGGGAAAAGGAGGAGGGGAGGTATCACAGTTTCACTAATTTTTTAAAAACAAACATATTAAATAAAAACAAACATATTAAAAAATCATAATTTTATTTAGAAAAGCAAAGATGTCTCTTGCTAACTTAACCATACCAAACACTAACAAGTCTAGACAAAGAAAGATGCATATACTTAATTCTCCTGCTTAGACAGAAGCAACCAACCAATTAGGTGTTACCATAAAAATTAAACAGGCATGAAATTAATGAAATTAATGTTTTCTACTTAACTTTGTAGAAATTCACTATTCATAAAATATTCTAATTTATTCTGCATGGAAGTTGGGAGACCATAAAAATCTGTGCAAGCCAAAACTGCAAAGTGTTCTTAATAAACAATGGGAAAATTTACGATTGTTCTGTAACCTTTTAAAAATGTTTGTGCAAACATTCAAAGCTCTTACTGTTGGTTATAAATGTATAGGGAAATGAAAAATAAGACTAATAGTTCTAGTTTAGTACACTGTAATTTAGCACATCAGAAACACTGAAAATGAAAATGTTTTATTTCTTTGTAAAACACTCATCAAGAATAGTATGAACAGGGCTTGCCTTCTCATCCAGTAACTTAAAATACAGAGGAAGCATCTTTTCTATGCCTGGGCAAGTTGTCATATTCCTTTTTAAACTCTGGATCAGCTTCCAACATTTTATCCTTTGCCCTTTCAGCGTTGTGAAACATCTCTGAGAATTCCTTTAATGTGAAGCTTTTTGCCAACTTCACATCCTCTAAGACATTTTTATCCTTTTTGTCACAACCATTTCCCTTATTTCTGCCTTCACCAAGTTTCTCTGACTGCACAGCTAGAGTCTCTTGAACAGAGGCAATGCCAACATTCCCACTGTCAGGCATTTCTTTTATAACTCCCTTTATTCTTGATTCATATTTTATTTCCAGGGTTATGACTTTTCCTTTGCTGCACATTTATCTTCGTTGGCCAATTCCCTCTTTTGATTATCCATTTTTGTAAAATGTCACATGGATTTATCATTGGGGGACAAGAAGTCAACACAACTACATGCTGTGTTTTCTATGCATAAAGTGAATAAGAGATGCACAGTGATCTGCCTCTGAAAAACTTGGAAATAAGTGATGTGATTGTCACAGATCATGATGCACACCTGTTATTTACATGCTGATCTGCAGACTAAGGAGCCAGCAACAAAGTTTGTACTTTATGCAATTACTCACGGTTAACATACCCTGGTAACTGAAGTATGAACTGTGTTGTTGGGACTCTGGTGTTATTTAACTAACTGTGAAATCTGTGCTCACTGAAACTCTGCAGAGCAAGGACTTCCTTTAAGCATAGACACCTAAGTGTACGCATCTTAAGAAAATGTTAAAAAAAAATCATGCACATACAAAGGAAGAGTGAAATAAGCTACACACCTGTGTGAGATGACTCATCATCACTGTTTTCATCTTTTCTCCCTCTCTTCTTGATTTTTTTAATTCTGTACTCTCTGGCATTGCCGCCACCTCCTCCTCTCACACTTCCACTGCCCTCTGGTGGAAAACGACATTAGTTAGTATTACCTAACTAAATACTGTTTTTAGAAATAATGACAATACATTGTTGTATTTAACTTTACAGTAGAAAAATAAAGCCAAGTTTTGTAAACTCAATCAGTAAAAATTAATAAGATATGAAATCTCTTGAACAACTCACTTAACCTGCCTGCTCTAAATGCAGTCTCTTCCTGTTTCTCTAATGACATCTATTTTCTGCAGCTTTGACTGACTTTTTCCTGGTCAAACCCATTCCTTTCCCTCCTCTTCTACCTTCTTCAAAAGTGCCTTAATTTGCTTATCTTCTGTTACCACAGCCTCATTAACATCCCCAACTACAGTAGCTCACAAATTTGGTTTTGTCTTTTTGATTTAAAGATTATTCCCCAGGTTTACAGGAGACATCCTGACTCTCCCGCCACCCAAAAAGATAACTTCTTGACAGTAGGGAGAACATCTCACTAACGTCTGCATACTTGAGGTTAAGGCAATGCTTGACACATAACAGGGGCTCAATAAATGTTGACCATAAATATTAAATTGATTAAGTAGAAAAATACAGTTATCAATCACCTACTGGCTAAATGAAGACTAAAAAAATACAAACTATGAAACTAAAACACTGTAAATAAAAGTAAAATTGTTACTGAGGTATTTCTCTGCTATTATATATTTACATTTAAAATATCTATTCAACAAAATAGGATACTTTAGTAATGGAACTGTAACACTGAAAAATACTGAAAATACATTTCTTCATAAAAGATTCATTTTTTCAATAAAATGATTTATATAAACAAAGATCTTTTTCTAAACTCTAAGAAGAATTCCCTTAGACTTCATCATATTCTATAAGTTCTATTGCTTTCATGATAGAAAAACACAACTTTCAAAAGCACAAGTTTAAAGTGAATGTATCTTTTACATTTGGTAATAAGTTTCTTGGGAAAGATGTTCTTGTTTGACATTATTCCATGAACTGTAATTAAACTATTATAAAACAACAGCACTATCAGAACAAAACACCAGGTGAACCTGAATTTTTAGAAGGATATAAAACAGACAAGTTTTACTGACATAAGTGCAATCAATTAATTAAGGTGGGTTTATAATTATATCTTAAAATAACAAAATATGCATGCTTATGAATATTATTATGATTTATTGCAGTAATTTACTATGTAGTTTTCCTAGAACAGAAATTTCAAAATATTATTGAAAGATTTTGTAGAAAAAGGTTTTTGAAGAGGAAAGAATCTCAAAGATATAGTGAATCCCACAGCAAATAAAGTTTTTATAACATGTTTAATAGAGCTGTATTTAGTAATGAAATATGTTGAATATCTAAGTTCTTTAACCCTGATACAGCACTAATAAAATTATTCCTACTATAAAAAGTATGGAAAATACATGTTAATTTCCAAATGCAAGTTACTAGTATGCCAGTGCTACCTAGGATAATTTCCAGTGACTAAATTAAAAGAATTTTTAAAAGTCCTTGGGAAATTCATTCACTCAATAAATATTTATGGAGCACTTAAAATATGCCAAGGAGTGCTCTCAGTACTAGGGAAACAACAATAAATGAGATAGAGCAGACTCCCAAACGATAAAAGACATCACAGTGATAAAAGTGCTGTAAAAAAACCTGGGAGGATAATCCGATAGAGAGTGTGTATATTATTCTGGGTGGTTAGGGAGGCCTCTGTGAGGAACTGACATTTAAAGGTGAGCTCTTAATGACAAGAAGGAAACAGTTACTTGAAGCTTGGGAGGGAACAGCTTGTGCAAAGGCCTTGAGGTGAACACAAACTTGCAAAATCTGAGAATCAAAGAAAAAAAAAGCTACTGGGGCAGGAACATAAAGAATGAGAACAGGAGATCATGAAATTAGCTTAGTTCTCACAAAATGAAACAGTAAATAATCATCAATATTTTCATTTTCATAATCAAAAGTTAATTCACTAGCAAAAGATTTGGTTAATATTAACAGTTAAAGGTGAATCAACCAAATAAAAGGCCTTTCAAAAGGTCTCATAAGTGCAAAGTTCACTGCAACAAATAAACTCATCTTGAATCTTGTTAATAATAATTTGTTACCTGTTGCTTTCCTCCTTCGTTCATCTTTTTTATCCTTTTTACTTGTATTAACGGTTTCTAAAATGGAGACTTGTTTCAGATCTTCTTCAGTGATTAAATGAACAGGATTATTTTTCATTTCCTGAAATAAAACATGCTTATTTTTTGTAGGCAAAAATATATAACATTACAAAAAGCATAAAATAAAAGTTGTTTATATACTCATATCCTAACTGTTCTTGTTTGGTTTCATTGCTAAGAACTATAGAGCTTTGTCTCAGCTGCCACTCTGAGATTGTTTCTCCATGCCCCAAATATGTCTCCTCCCTTGCTGTTCTTGACTTTTTGTATTTATTACCAGCTAATGAGAAATCTTATCCTATCACTGAACAGCTGATCACACAGCATCAGATGCAATCCTCTTCAATTGTTATTGGCTAATTTTAGCACTGCTTAACGGATGACCCTTGCTACCTCTCTTTTTAAGACTCCCAAGGTCCAGTGCCACTTGGATACCTGAGATCACTAGAAAGATAATGAAATCTCCATCCCCACCCCACCATAATGATCACATATGAGTTGCATACTTAGGCATGTGAACTCTTCCCCCCTCTGGACTCATTCTTGATCTTTGCTTTTTATAAATTTATGTTAGGAACAATGAACTATTTACAAC